CTTACTGAATATATGATTAGATGATTTTCTTTTCTACTCCACATTATGTCCCTGAGATTCACACATGTTGAATGTAGCTGTAATTAATTCATTTTTACTTCTGTTTAGATTCATTATATGCTAATTCCTTACTCCCTTAATGGGTAATTGAGAAAATAAATTATCAGAGAGATGTCAGTTAAAACTCTAAGCTCTTTGACATGGCCACATTTGGTATTATGCTTAAGAAAATAATTTAGCTAAAGAAAACAATCAGAAACAGATGAACCTAAGATTCTGATTCAAACAACTCCAGGTAACTTCCAAGAAAGCGTTAGTAGCACCCTCCACTACAAGGCACTGCAGCATGTTTAGACATATAGAAAAACATGAAATGTTCCTTCAGAAGGAAAAAAATCTAATTTCATTTGGAAATATTACAAATACAAATCTTCTAAGCATTCTCCCTCCCAAAGAAGGCTACGTTAGAAATTATAAATCTCAATGACTTCTGTTGCCAACTCCACAAATATTAACAAGATCTTATACATACCATGCCCTGTTCCTACTATCTGGGGTAGAATAGTGAAAAGAAAGGTATAAAGTCTTCTCTCACAGACCTTACATTCTAATTAGTCAATATCATAACTATCCATAAACACCTGTAATCCTTTTGGAAGCAAGCCAAGGAAAAAGGAGAAAATAATGAATTTGCAGGAAACATCTCAAAGAAGGTAAATGTTAACCAATAGCACTCAGAGGTAAGAAGACCATCAGTATTTCTCAGATTTAAATAAAATTACATTTAAGTAACAATACCTTTGCCAGGCCAAATCGTCCTCTAAAAATATGTTACGGCTGGCTTTTCTACTCCCTACAGGTGTTCGCGGCTCACTCGGATCAAGTACAGACACAGAGCAAGCAGAATCTGAAAGAGCATTCAAGTCTTCCCCAATGGAATTACTGTCTGTGGAATGAGCATAACTTAAGGCTATTTTTCTACAATACGTGCAAGCTCGGAGGTCTCCTAGAAGAAAAAAAAAAGAAAGAAAATTAAGTAAAATATAACAGTAATAGATTACTTAACAAAACACTTTAAATACTTGGGTTAATAGTTAACCTATTAATAATAAAAGGGAAATGAATGTCTTTAAGTAAAGACTTCCAAAAAAGACATTTTAAAGGAGTAAAATAATTTTGTTAGCTCTTCTATATATTTTAAGAACCATCATTACAGTAAATTCATGCAGGTGTCTAAATTACCTCAAATATTTCTAACAAATTAAGAAAATATGACTCGATGATACTAGAAAATTCTGCTTAAGAGAGTATTTTTTTCAAGGTTGCAAAAGTGAAATAAGGTATCTATCACCAAAAGGAGTTTCAAGGAAAAACATTTTTTAATAGAATAAACAAACCAACACAAATGGAAACAACATGTTTTCCACAGGCAAAGTAAGGAGAAAAATATTTTAAGTTCTCTATTGTGAAGCCCTGAAGAGTGGCCTCCACAAGGGGGCACAATTTTAAAAACAAGCTAATAGAAAATGGGCTTATATACAATATAACATATGGGAGTAAAAACTATAAAAGAAATTCCTATAGTGAAAGTTAGGAAATGAAATATTTTGAGGAGGGCAAAGTTATTTAATACTTCTAAATATATTTTGTTAGGATGCAGTCCTGCCCAAATATAAGTTTTCATTTCTACCCTGTTTTTCTGTAACGTTTTGAGTGATTCTATAACATTTCGGTATACTAAAAAAGGAGATAGAATAATTAAACCATACTAATAGCATGTTATCTAACAATTCTCCCTAAATTTTTTTCCCATTAACATTATAAAACTGAAGTTATACAAAAAACTTCTAAAAGTTAACTATATTCTGTTTTTTTACCATAATTACTAACAAGTGTAATAAATGGCCTTTAATTTTTTCATTTTAGGACTATTATATAGTGGTCAGTTTTATTAAATTATACAAGTAAAATCAAAATAAAATGTCACTTGTTACATTACTAATTTCCAGTATCACAACTTAACAAATGAAATGTATTAAAATCTAAAGAAAAATATAGCCACTTCAATCAGCACCCCTCCACCAAAAAACAAAAAAAGAAAGAAAAGTAAACTCCAGTCTAGGTTAAATGAAAGTGTTAGAACATACTATCATCAGCCAATCAAAGTAGAATTATGGTGAGGAAGTGAAATTAATCCCTGCAGAAAGACCTTCAATTTACCACAACAAAGCCTGGTTTGTTTCTTAGACTATAAAGAACATCTCCCTAACCAGCCAGCTATTAGAACAAAAATTATCAAATTAATAAACAGAGCCAAACGTGACCAGAAAAGTTTTCACTTCATTAAGATCCTTCATCAGCAAGGGCCTATTACATGCATGCCTATATAATGTGATGTGAATACAAAGGTTGATAAGACACAGCTCTGCCATCAAAGAACTTGTAGTCCACTGGAGGCGACAGACACATAAAAAATTAAAAAGCTGCATGACAGATGCAGATATTAGTACTATCAACAATAATAACATTCATCAATTCCTTTCTATGTCCTGGACATTTTTCTAGACATTTTACATTTATTCAGGGTCACAATGTACACTTGTGTCCAGCATACTATCCCATTTGCAATGGTTAATCTTATGTGTCAACTTGACTATACTAGTTGTTTGGTCCAGCTTAGATGCTGTTGTGAAGGTATTTTGGGGCGATGTGATTAATATTTACAGTCAGTTGATTTTAAGTAAAACAGATTACCCACCCATAATATGGGTGGATCTCATCCAACCATTTGAATGTCTTAAGATCACAGACTAAAGTTTCCATAAGAAAAAGAAATTCTATCTCAAAACTGTAAGATAGAAATCCCACAGGTGGCCGGCGTGGTGGCTCACACCTGTAATCCTAGCACTCTGGGAGGCCGAGGCGGGTGGATTGTTTGAGCTCGGGAGTTCGAGACCAGCCTGAGCAAGAGCGAGACCCCGTCTCTACTAAAAATACAAAGAAATTAACTGGACAACTAAAAATATATAGAAAAAATTAGCCAGGCATGATGGCGCATGCCTGTAGTCCCAGCTACTCGGGAGGCTGAGGCAGGAGGATCGCTTGAGCCCAGGAGTTTGAGGTTGCTGTGAGCAAGGCTGACACCACAGCACTCTAGCCCAGGCAACAGAGTGAGACTCTGTCTCAAACAAAAAAAAAAAAAAATGAAATCCTACAGGAGTTTCCAGCCTACCGGCCCGTCTTAAGAATTTCAGACTTGCCAGCCCCCACAATCACTTGTACTAGTTTTTTAAAATAACCTCTCTCTATATATAAATGTGTGTCTTTGCGCAGGGTGGTACACTATTGGTTCTGTTTCTCTAGAGAACCCTAAAACAGATTTTGATACCAAGAATGGTTCTAGAGCAAAAGAATCTTAAAGATGAGTTTTCTGAGTTGGTTCTTGGGTTTCAGTAATCGGTTTTCTAACCTGATTAGATTTAAAGGTACTAAAGACTCTATTTCCAATAGTAAAGAGAACACTGACAGTCCATGGTGAGATGTGACAATAATGACACACAAAATGTCACCTATGTAGATTCCTGAATCAGGAAACCTAAATGCAATGGGGATATGTGGATACCAGGTTGGCAGGGCCCAGGTAACAGCACTTAATTGCCAAAGACAAGGTGGGCACAGTTACCATAATAGACATCAGCACCAAAGCAGTAATCAGAATAAACTGACGCAAAGAGACCTATGGCATTAGCTAGTTGATCCTGCTGTCCCTAGAAGTGAAGTAGATGGGCAGTCAACTAAATTCTTACTTGACTTATACAAGAGGAAAAATTCTACAGCAAGTAGACAGAAGTCTAACTTGAATCATTAAAATCAGAGACATGATCCCCCTCAATCAATTCCCAGACTTGAGCCCTTTACAGACCCAGAACTCCTTGAATAAAAGGAAGATTGGGTCCTCTTGAGAAAGGACCCCACTACACTGCCAGAAATTTATACTGTTAATCTTTTTACCAGCCTTCCCCAAAGGGATCTATGGCCTTTTACTAAGGTTACTATACATTTAGAAGAAGGAAATGGTCAAACTTTTCAGGGATTATTAGACATTGACTCTAAACACACTAAGTCCAGGAGACTCAAAACATCACTGTGGTCCGTCCACCAATCAGAGTAGAGGCTTATGGAGGTCTGGTGGTCAGTGGAATTTTAGATCAGGTCCACTGCACAGTGGATTTAGTGGGTCCCCAAACCTACTCTGTGGTTATTTCCACAGTTCTGGAATATATATTTGGAATAAACAACTGGCAGAATCCCTACACTGGTTCCCTGACCTGTATTATGATAGATCTGGCCTCCAGAACTGCAAGGTAATAAATTCCTGTGTTCTAGGCCACTCAGTCTGTGGTACTTTGTTATGGCAGCCCTAGGAAACTAATACACCAACCATATTAACGATTCAAGTTTTATCCTAAGAGTAATGGGAGTTCTAAAAGGGTATCACACAGAGAAATAACCTGACATGATCAAATTAGATTTTATAAAGATTACTGACTAGAGTATGAAAAATGAATTAAAGATAGGGAACAAAGTTTTTTAAAAGCTGTAGTCATAATCTGGGTGAAAGACAATGGGATTCTGAACTCCGAACTCTATAGTACTTTAGGTGAAAAAAAAAAGTGAATAAGACCAAGAGAAAGATCTGCACAATAACAAAAATAATATGAAAGATGTTAAGAGTATACTCTTTTGGGTAACTTCTGTCCACCTTTCACTCCCAAATCACTGTATAACTACACACACCATTGCTCAGTTTTTTCTGTCTCAACAAATAACTTAAATTTTCTGTATTGCTAAAATTTGACTATGTTCCACATAAGTAAGATACAATTTGCTGAAGGACAGTGTTATATAAGGCAAGGAAGATTTGTACTTTGTAAAATGAAAACTCTCATAGTGATAAAAATAGTAATCTACTCTATGCTAATAATCTTATTTAATAAGTTTTTGGGCTCCTACAGTTTCTTGCTAGCATCTACCATACTTTTACTCTAGCTATTTATGAAAACTCCCAGCTACTTTATTAAGCAACTATAAAGTTCTTAAAAGCAAAGCTGTATCTCCCTCAGCTTTGTGCCCCCATATCTTACACATAAAGCCCAAAATGTAAATTGGCTTAATACTGGTCCTGTATTATGACTATTTATAATTATGACCTTTAAAAATTGTAAAACTGTCAATAAAATACATTTACCTGTATAGCCCATAAATTTTCCAGGGATTTCTTGATTACAGCAACGACTGCAGAAAATCTGCCCACACAGTCGGCAATGGTGTCTGCGCCTAAAGGTTGTAAATTTCTCACTACAGTCATAGCACTCTTTACATTGGCTATCTGGCATCCAATATTGTTTAAGGTCACTATCCTGTAACAATAAAAATGTATGAAGGCTTCTTGAAAATACCATTTATTAAGAATGCAATGGTAAATGAGATCCTAGCTTTCTTTTGCAGAAAATGACAAGCTAATACAAAAATTCACAGGGGAATGCAAAAGGCCAAAACAACCAAGACAATCTTGAAGAACAACAAAATTGAAGGACTTATATCACCAGTCGTCAGCATTTATTCTAAAGCTACAATAATTTTAGACAGAGTATTGGTGCAAAGATAGAAAAAAATAAAGCTATAGAACAGCAAAGAGAACCCTGGCATACCCTCACACATATATGGGACTAATGATGAGACTTATAACACAATCGGTAAAGGAGGGTCTTTTCAAAACCAGTGGTGCTAGGTCCTACTGGACATCCATGAGGTAAAAAGGAAGCTTGACCTCTACACTTCACACAAATAAAAAAGCCTCTTGAAGAAACTGTAGAATATCTACTGACCCTGGCCTGATTTCTGAAACAGAACACAAAAGGCACTAAGCATAAAGAAGGAAAAACTGATAAATTAAACTACATTAAAATTAAGAACTTATGTGTAAAAATACAGTGTTTATAGATAGAGGAAATATTAAACTTTTTTTCAAGTGGCATTACACCATCTTCAGTGGGTACGGCATGATCCCCATTAAGTGCTTAATAAGTAACCTTCCAGTACCTGACTTTTCCCCTCCATGATTTCTTTGAGTCGTTTTAATACTGTGCTGAGGCTTCGAAGCTGAACAGCTGTACGAGGGTCATGACCTCCAAAGGTAGGTTCTGCTTTCCTTCTTGTGTCTGAGTCGGATTTAAAAAAAAGCATCATTGTTAATAGTCCCTAGTATCTATCTACAAAAAAGTATAAATGTGATGCAAAGGGCCTCTTATTGTTAGTATATATTAATATTTATGTTCTCCCAGCCAGTGATATGGATTGAGAGGTAAAACTAGTCTTTATTAAGAGGCTGTTGAAAGTATTTCTTTTTATCATGTAAAAAGAGTTTCACAAGCAAGTAAGAACCACTTAAGACAAGCACTATCTGAGACTATTGATGGTTTTGAGGCCTGAAATGGGAACATCACTTACATGGCCCAGAATTCATTAATGATTTCTTGTACCCTTTGGTCTCCATCTAAAATAAATAACTGCTAGAAATTTAGCAGAAGAAAAGGCAATCCCAGTGGGTTAACCTAGCTTGGTCTCTAAAGTCAAACAAGAAAGCAATAGGATCAAACAGTCCAGTTCTGTCTGAAGACTATATATCCAAAAGTCTCGTGCAGCAGATCAGAAAGAAATTTAATAGTCCAGCCCCCAAAGATTTTGACAGACTTCACAACATCCAGGATAGTAAATTTTGCCATAGTAAAATATGACCAATGCCCACATAGATTAAAACTGCCAGGAAATTGACAGAACTCCAATCCTACCCCTCTCTGTGACTTACCCAACCCTGTAGCTCCAAACTGAAAGAGATCTCTTACACTTTAAATAAGAATACTGAAGCCAATTCTATCAATAAGAAAACAAGTTCAAATTCCAGCTTTGTGGCCAGAATGGGGTATGCCTACCAAAGTTGCCACTTATTATTTCCTTATTTTAAACCAAAATTACAACTGAAATTTCTACCTATTCTGGCTCCAGCAGTTACAAAACCTAAGGATGAAGTGGAGGTGGTTTGACAACAGGGATGAAAATGTTATTAAACACATTTACCTAAAACAGGTTTAGTAAGTGGGCAAAGTAAGATGGAAAATACCTCACCCTGAATCTTCCTCAAACTCACTATTTGCTAGATTTGTTTTAGGTCTTTGTTTTAGTTGATTAGGAAAGAAAGGATTACAAAAAAATGAGAGGTTGGTATCTCAATCTAAATCTATAAAGAATCTCCCAAGATAATTTAATTAATGAAATAATTATCTAAACTGCATGTCAATGGAAAAGAATTCAAACTCTGTAAAATAATTTAAAGAGGTTTATTCTGAGCCAAATATGTTCAACCAAGGCCTGGAGAGCCACACCCAAAAAGCCTTGAGCAAGTGGTCTCCTGGTGGCTGGGTTACAGTTTGGTTTTATACATTTGAGGAAGATAGAAATTACATGTAGAGTCACAAATCAATACATGAAAGACATACATTGGTTTGGTACAAAAAGGCGGGACATCTCAAAGTGGGGGATTACAGATTATAGATGTGTTTAAAGATTCTTTGATTTGTAATTGGTTAAGGAAATGAAGCTTTGTCTAAAGGCTTGGAACATTTTAAATTAAGATAAGGAAGTCTGTTAATCAGAGACAAGTCACCAGACATATACTCAGACTCAAGGGATCTGTTAGGCAAATTGAGGACCTGCAGGTGTGGTTCAGGCTTTATCTTGCATAGCCTTAGGCCTATTAATGAGGTACAAAGGATATCACCCAGAAGGGAAGCAGACAGGACTAGGAAGGTCTGATCTTCCTTCTCATGACCACCAACTCAGCTTTACAGTACTTCTTTTTTTTTTTTTTTTTTTTTTTTTT